ATTTTCCATAATATCAGCATTTTTAATGATCAAGGGCTTTAGTGATCACGAGTTCCTTCAACATGATGTTGATAAGGCATAATATCGATCAGTGAGGCACGAAATGCCCTTCAATTTGGACAGTTGCCGAGGTGTTCATATTCGCCACCGATACCTGCCGGCCCGTAGCCTAAAGCTAACGAACTTGTCTTATAATCTGGCGGAGCGGGTTCTAGCCTGCGTAGGGGTAGGGGGATCCTCACAGCATCCGTACCCACGTGCAACCGCTGGTAGTTACGTGTCAGCGAAACGTCGGTACTGCGTACCGGCGTACTCCTGCTGCTACCGATACGTCTGAACCAACAAGCCTGGTGTGCACTAGTTCAGGCCACGTGCCAAGAAGGTGACCTTAATGTGCACCCTGATGATGACTTCAGTTGCTTTAGAAAATCTGAGGTCGCTTCAAATAGTGGCAGCCAGCATGCTGGTCCCTTGCATGGGCACACCAGAGTTAGGACTTATTCATGTCCATCCTAGCGCTCAATGCTTACCTGTGTACCCATGTCGAATTCTCTGAAGCAGATTTGCATGATTTCCGAAGTGAATATTTCAGGGTCATTTCCTTCCTCTTCCTGTTTCACTGAAAAGGCTTTACTTTTTCTGAGTTGAGGACTTTAGTCGCAGATGCATTTGTTACTAAAGTCTTGATCCGATAGGCAAAATTTCCCCAGCGACATCTGTTCCTTGTTCCGCTAGAAATTAATAATCAGTGGGCTTGATGCTGTCGGATATAGTGCACTGTGTTACTATGTGGACGTCTTCAATGTACCCATTGAAGTTAGTTGCGTAACAAAGGTAGCCTTAATACTGTGTTGCATGATCATTGTGCCCTAAGGGAATACTGTCGATCATATGCTCATCATCGATAAGGAAGAGGTCTAAAACGGATGATTAGTTTCCCGTTCAGAATCGCGTCGGGAAAGTGAGGAGATTTTGAAGTGGTAGGCCAGCAACTAATTCTTACACTTAGGCATTCACTTGTTCTCTAAGGCAGACTTGAACTTTTAGAGCGTGCAAGTTGAAGTCTCCAACAGGGGAAGTATGAGGGTTAAGTTGAGCCAGAACGATTTTTAATGCAGAAGCTAAACAGTTGTCCATTCCTTGTAAGGATATGAAAAGACGCTATCCGAGACCGAGCGAACAGGTACCCGCACGCTACAGTTGCATACAACACCATAGTGAGTACACGGTTGACATCTCTGGGTCATCAATGGTTTGTAGACTCAGGTCACTGCGACAGCAAACGAGTACACCACCTCCCCTAGTAGATCGATCTTTACGTACCACAGACACATCTGGTAGAGCGATCTCCCTATCAGTGATATGATGGTTCAGCCAAGACTCAGTTATCATTATCAGGTCCATAGACAGAAGGATCTGGCGAGATTGAATCTGGGATACATTTTTGTATAGGTCCTAAGCCTTGGTATGCACACCGGAATGTGTTTCGATGTAAGATATGCAGTTGAGGGTGCCAGTGACAGGTCTGGGCTTCTACTCACAATCGTGAAAACTGCAAGTAATGGTATTTCGTGTCAACTGCTGATACTAAACTTCAAGCCGCCTCCTGTTGGCTGGTAGAATGATCACAGGATGCAGTTTTAGTTTCAGTATGCGTTGGGAAAGTCGCCGCCCATTCAACAGACAACTGTACCTGTCAGTTGTCGGTTGCAGAAGTATGACTTACTGGTGTCACTGTCCGACCCGGGTAGTCTTGCTCTCTCTCGATCGTTTGGAGTTTGGTGTTGAATGCTTTTTTCGTGCCTCTGAAAGGAGCTTCTTACGTTACTTACGCTAGGCTCCCAGTAAAACGTTCCGCCATGAGGTTGAATTGGAACAAAAGTTTCGTCACCTTGGGGTCACACCCGTTGTACTTTGAGGATAATTGTAGTCCCAGGCTCGAGTTGGCGATCACTTTGTCGAGTGAGAGGGTTTGATGAAAGTAGCGCCATCTCTTCCAATTATATGCCCAAGCTTCATGTTTATCAGACTTGAGCCTCAAGTACACCAGGAATAAAGGTCGACTTTTTGTTCTTCAGATATTGGCAGTCTCCAGCGTTCTGTTTCCTTTGCTGACGCGCAACACAAGTCTTGTCAAAGGGAATCCGAACACCACATGAGCCAGTCAAAAGGCGTGGGTGAGCTGGTAAACGACCGCCTCAACACCGTTCGGTGATAAAAGCATCACTTGTAGCAGCCGTGGTTCCCTGTAGTGGGTCGAGTTTGGGTGCCTTATGATGCGCACCATGCTAGGCAGTTTTGCTTGGACGCCTGTTAGTAGACACATGAAATCCCACTGTTTTGCGGTTTCCAACAACTTATCTGTTATGAAAATCGCGATAGGTTCAAGATCATTGTAACCAACAATTATCAGGGACCAGTGAGCTTGCCTAGGAAAACCGTTTTGTGAAGGAATGGGATCCAACTTCTTGGTAGAGTGCTGGGCTTATATGTGGAACCTCTGGCGCTCTGTCTGATCAATTTGGGTTTAAGCATTAAATTTGCTGCTGATTATTGGGCCGCAGCAACACACGCGCATGTAGCCGTACCTTCAGCAGAGCGCATGTATTCCAATGTGCCGGTAAAGAAAGCTCCATAAAGTTGTTCTCCTGCAATGGAACCTGAGCCATGATGGAGGTTGCTGTAGTACGTGGTCGTTTGCCTGACTTCAGGTTGGTTTTGTCCATGTACTTAGCTTTACGGTTTTACTCTTTCCCCTGGCCAGTTCACTTTATTCCACTGTGTAGCCTTGGGCCGCGAGACCGGCTGATTTTCAATCCAAAGGAGAACATTTACTTAGTCTAAAGCCCTCGAACTTCGTTGATAGGATATCGCATTTCTGTGCCAAAATACATTTGCATCTAACAAGTGCGACAGCCATGCAGTCAATGCGGAAGCAAAAGGGGCTTGCTTTTTGGTTTAGTTGTTTCACTTCTTTGGCATTTAAACCAGCACACTTGGCTTTATAATATCTAATGCATCTAGAACATAAAATACCTATTCGAACATTTTGCTGGAGATATCAACACTGTTCAGCTGCCTCTCGCTAGGCTCCGCTAAGCGTTAAACTTTGTTTTTCGTCATAATTCCAGCTATGTCTAAACCCGGAGGTCCAGTGGGGTCGTTGTCTACGCACTCGTACAAACGCACGCACACACAAACAGATTCAGGCAAGTGCTTCTCTGAAATGGGTAGGCAGGCTATCGCTGGACTTCACTCACACAAGTCACACAGATAGCAACAAACAACGTGTCGATGGCGATTACTGCAGACTGTGCATAGGAGTGTTTTGCGTGGTTGGAAAGTGGGAGGACAGCAGTGAACTGGAGGTTGCGAAAAAGAATGCAGCGACTAAACACATCGCTGGAGAAGTAAGAAGATATGCTATTGCCTGGAACAAACAATTTCGAGTGCAGGTCGAAAAAATCTGCACGTAGGTTTCGGTCACAACTCCGTCCAAATTGCGAAGGTGACTAGGATGTGAAAGCATTAAGATGAATCCGACAGTTTACTATCCGCTTTGTAGAGCTAATGAATCCGTGTGGAAGGAGTTCAGATTCGATGATGAGCAGCAAGATGGTGAGGAGTTATCCGTAAACTATCCGTGGTCCATGGTCAATAGTATATTGGGGGATAAAAGAAGCCGACGCTGGACTATTCTCGCCAGATGATCGGTTAGGTGTGAACAAAATAAAGGCAAAATTGGTAATGGGAAATAGTGAACCACTGCAAATTGCCAACTTGCCGATTGCAGCGTTCGCGTCCGTTTTATGTACTATCCAAGGTTATCGATTGTGGTTCCCGGACAAAAATGAAGTCGAGTTGGTTTGTTTTTGTTTTCCTACTGTTTTTATGGGTTGTTTGGATTACGTCATATGGTGAAGTGTGGCCGGTGCACTGTTGTCACGTGCGTTGAACACTCCTAACGTAGGGACTGAAATAACAGCTTCTGAGAGGATATTCCACGTGTGGCAAACATGCATCGAGAAGTTTATTCGGCAATCTAACCGACTGTATTGTTCTGTCAATTTGAGATGAGGACCTCTCAGTTGTCTGTTGTGACTCAGATTCAACTGGTGATGACATGGGTGATTAGTGTTGATTAATATTTGGTAAAACATGATTAGGTCACTACGCAAACGGCGATACCGACGTAGTACGATCGCACGGCAACGCCCAAACATCTTGGTTGATTCGGATTGGTTTACACGATTTTAACGCAGTCTTCCAGGAAGTATGAATTATACATAATAGTAGTATACAAGACGGTGCTTTGGCTGTTGCATGTTTCATGGTAGAACCACATCATGGGCAATACAGATCATCAAACCGCGCACTTCGTGATTCCACGCCATCCTTGGTAGTCGCCCGTGCTAAGTAGTCAACGGACGTACATGTGTCCTCTTTATGCTTGCATATAACCTAGATATATTTGATGTTTCTCGCGGCGAAACCGACATCAAGTATTTAGGTACACTTCGAGTGAACTGGCACGTTGTGGTACATACATCGACGTAGTTAGCACCTGACAACATCACCATAATTATATAATGAAAACTTTGGTCAGGCAAAAACATCGAATCCTGGTGGATCCAATGGATGCGCGCCATTGATGAGGCCCAACAGGCTGAAACTGCAGTCTATTGCTTTTCCGGGCATGTGGACGACTATCTGATTTGGAATTGGTTGCGACAAACCCTTGGTTATTCTAGCTCAGCACCTACTGAATTATTATCAGGCAAAAGGTTGCGTAATTGGAGAGAGTTTACCTCATCCTCTTTCCAATGGGGATTGTTACGTAATTTCTTTAACAAAATAAGTATGGAAACTTTTAAAAATATGCCGCACCAACTACACTGCGAGACCCGCGATAGAAATTGATCACTTCGATGCACGGGACGTACGTCAGCTTTGTTTTTCAATTCGCTGTGTTTATTAATTCTAATGAGCTTGTAACTTACCATTTCTGATAAATAGGGGAACAGCACATTGCCAAAGTGTTCGCTCGCTTCAACTGGCAATTGCGTGGGCATATTGTCAATGGAACACATGAGAACACCGTCCCCGACAAACCTGAGGGCGCAAAAGTGCGACAAGTGGAGGGCAAAATGAAGAATACTATCACCAAGTAGTACTCAAAAAGCAAAAAAGTGCAAACTACTGTCGTCATTGTCATCATCATCATCATTATACACGTTAGCTAGAGGTGGGAAACAACTCAGCCATTGTGTCGCAATACATAGAATAAAAACAGGAGAAAGAAATACAACAGGTGAAAGCCAGCTGAGCTACCGGTATCGGATGGGCATGGTTCCGGTAAGCTACAAGCCCGCTACTGTGCATCGAAAAAATTAATATGCAGAATTATATAAGGCTAAATACTGAGATCGTGGTTGGAGGGGGAGGCTAAAAGGGATGGGGTGAGATAAAGAAAATCACAGCAAGAAAGCCACTGAGGTCGACTCCTAGCCATATCAGCCAGTGTATCTAACCAAACGTGTTCAACGCCTTTCGGACCCCAACCAGAGAGCCGAGATGTTCCAACCGAGGACCTTCATTCCTCTCGACCAAGTCACCGCTTGGCTACCCCTCCTCTTCTTCCATTCACACCCCGAGCAGCAAACAATGCACGTCGCAGGAGCCAGTGGAATGGCATGTGTAACACGTGGCCGAGCCATCTGAGCCTGGTGTGTGAAATAGCGGTGCTGAGCGGTTCAGTTCCTTTTCCTGTACCGTAAACAAGGTGTCGAACACGCTCGTTGCTCACGCGGTGTTCCCACCAGATGTCAGCCAAATTACGAAGGCACCGGTGGTCGAACGTAACTAGCCTCTTTATGTCCGTTGATCTAAGAGGCCAGGTGATTGATGAGTAAAGCGTACGAACCTCCCTACAGAGTAAAGACCGTTAATAGCCATAGAGTTCACTAGAAATCTTACTCAGCTAATGGTCGACTGAGTTTGACAGATCAAAAATACACAGCGGTATGATAATAGCCTAGGGTAAATAGGTGCCGAAATATTTGAGGGATACCAATGACGGTTGACAACGAATCAGCAACAAGTTTATTCTCCACATTAACATGCATAGTATTTTGAAAAGCAGAGCATGCGTGCAGTTCTGGACTCCCTCGGGAAGAACACTCTTATCTGAATAGTGGTTGGCTTTGAGTAGCGTTCCAATGAATTGGACTGGAAAGTGTCAGATATGGAGCAAATTATCCGTCCAGCAAAATAAGAAAACCCGGTGGCAGCAGATTGAGAATTGCAAGGAAGCAATGTGGGCGCAGGCCTCAAAGAATGCTTCTAACAAGAACACACCACGTGACATCCAAGAAGGTATTCGCAGATGAATGTTCATATTATATACCCTGTATGGGTGCTCATTTTCAAACGAACAACTGTATGAACTTTTTGACCTCCTACAATTGAAAATGAAAAAAATGGCGTAGTTCCAAGCTCAACGCAAACCATAGGATGAAGTCAAGCACCGCGTAGTAGTGTGAGAGTGGCAGTGCGAAATCAGTGCCCTCCATCGCACGCTTGCATTTGATCCTGAGTACGATACTACTTGATCAAAGAAAGCACAACTTCCCAGATCTCGCTGTGTAGTGGCTCTTTCTTGGTGGCTCAGTTTAGTGCATTGCGACAAGGCGATCTGTAGTACCTTATAGGCCATAATGCAATTTATGAGATATTTGTACATGGTTATGCAAAGTGGCGTATACGAATTAATGCTGCTAACCGTGCAGTCCACTTCCTTGTGACTATTAGGATAGTAAACGCAATGGTTTGTGATCCGGTGCAATTTCCGATTCATTACGTGCTTAAATAAGACGAGTAAGTAACCCGGCGTTAAGCATGTTTCCCTTACAAACATGAGTCAAATGGTTGCCCTGCACCCGACAATCAACCTTCCGTAATGGAATATAGTTTTGTTTTATTAAAGGTATGTCCCCAGAGTTTACAGTCTTCTCGGTACACATTTGCTAAATTTTGGATATGGTTTCTCACTAAACGTTCTGCCAACTGTGTTTTGAATATGGAAAATCACCGAGTCAGCCGAATGCATGGTGGCTAGCTGTGGGTGTTTAACTATTCAAAAACGCGAAACAGCTTGCCGTCTGAACGATAGTTGAGTTTGCGTAAACGATGCGAGTTAGTAATGCACTGGGTTTAACTAAGCTCACAGCAGATGACGAGGCATTGTTCTGAATGTTACAACTAGTTAAAACAGTAATTTACGAACATTTTAATTTGATTCGGATGAACATCAGCATGTATCACGTAGCCTTGAAGGAATTGTTGTTTAAATGCATTGTTAGTGCGAAGTCTATATGTGGCTGGGAGATATGACTTGGTGTGATGGATTGTTGATTGGTCCTCACTTTGGCCGTTACCCACTGATAGTTCCATGGAAGTACTTATAAAAGGCAATCTGGAAGTAGACAACGTAAGTCCATGCGACTGCTGCCGGTAGATTAATGACATCTTGATGTTTCTATCTTCACGGATAAGCAAAGATTTTAGGAACAACATAAACCGAACTCATAAAGCGGTGCAAGCGGCTGTGCAATGTGATTAATTACGCAAGAAATGCTCCTACAATTCCCATGAGTCACTCGATGTCGCATGTACTGTGTGTGCGCGCGCGGGTGTACACATTCCAATCCAACGACGTTCTGCGCTTGTCGTCTTCCTTGACCTCCCCCTACGTTTGAATTTTTCCACAAGCACACCGACTGCTATCGACTGTTTTCATTGTGTGTACATTCCCCTACCGATTGCCTTGCCGGACGCCCGAAACCAATTCTTTCGCAACCCGTATGCGAGTGTGTGTGCATGCTTACTTGTACAAGTGTCTCTGGTTCTCCCTGCCCCTCGCATGTGTGCGACAGCACAATGACCTTGATTGTTCACTACTCACTGAGCAAGTGCCTTTGATACCTCACTCCCATTTGCGGAACGTAACCACTCAATGCACCGGGGGTGTGTCGCATTCCGGACCACAAGCACTGAGTGTTTGTTCACATCGGCGATGTAATGGATCCAAGCACTCATACACCATTTTGATGGGTGGCAAACGGTCGATAATACCCTTTTGTTGAGCGTCTCTCTATCGCATTGGTTGCTCACCTAAAACGCTTACATTTGTGGTTGGTTTTATTAGATCATTAATCTTATGTACCCCTTGGATCCACCTTGGCTTTTGAACTATTCGGGATCGATTGGTACGCGTGGCTTAACGACAGTGTTTTAGTCGTCGCGCACTGTTTTTTTTACTTCGGCAGTGGTGTGGTCCACCGTTACAACGGCCGTCACACTACCGTCTATGGCTTTCTCCTACTGATGGTAAGGCCGAATTGGATGCTTATCCTCTTCAAGAGAGCAGAGAAGGCTGCTAGCACTATAAGATTACATAGAGCTGCGGCACACACCTTCCTTGTTGTAGAAAAACAAACATCCAGAAAGTTTCATGAAAGCTCACACTTAAGAGAAGAAGTGCCTCAGCGGTGTTGATGTCCGATAGAAAAGCAGTCTTTCTACCTCTCTAGTATAACGGTATAATCATGTCGAAAATAGTTAACCATCACTCCTCACAGTAGCTTAGACACACTTACCCAGCAGCAAAATTACGTATCTATTTCATCAGCCGCGCAATGGTAGAGCTTAATCCCAAAGTAGACGACTAGACCACGACAACTCAATGTGTATCGACTCGTTTACCTTTCCCTGGGTAGCAAGATGCAGTGCTTGTACTACTAGGTATCTACCTAAGACTGTGAAGAAACACCATCTGACATGACTAGCAGCGGTGGGTATCAAGCTCGCTGACAGCAGCCTACTTCGCCGTTATACAGCAAAACTTCACACCAGCGGACTCGTTCAAATTTATAGTATTGGGTCCCATATATTAAGTTGAAAACGACAAGGAGAAGCTTAGTACTGCAAGATTCCACCATTTCGTGTTATCTGATCGAAAAACACGCGCGGATGAATATAAGTAGCAGCTGAAGCAATCGCGATTCGTCTGCAGATCTCAAGTGGTGCGTTCAGAAAGGACTCACTCCTGCCTTACTGCTTCCCTGACTCGATTGACACGAAATCACTACACAGTGGAATGATGTAGAGATTGTGACCCTGACCTAATTAACTACAATTATATGTATCTACCGAACAGTGGGAGCGCTTGTAGCGATTTCAGTAGTCTATAACAATTTGCTCTGCACACCATCGAACGAGCCCGATGAAGTAGTATGTAGAACATATGCTTAATTATCCTGACAGTTCCTATTGCTCCCATCTGGGTACGTGTGTGTTTGCGCCAGCTTGGAAACACGGCGTAGTCTTATATACCAGTAGTGACCTTCAAAGTCCGACCCAGACCGAATCATAAAAAACTTTATGTCTGAGTACCTTTATAAGTCACATTAACTCAGTCTGTGTTGCATCGGGTTCTAAAAAAATAGAGAGTAGGCCAATCCCAAGTAAGGAAGAACAAGCAGAGACAGTCGCGACAAACGCGCGTTAAATTAAACACATAAATTGTTTAATTCTCGGCTATGCGTTGCACGCTTTTAGAGGCCTGATAATAGGAATGGCACCACAACTGATCAAGTAATATGCGATAGTACAACGGGATTTGCATATATGTGGATCCATGGCGGTGAGTTAAATTACACTGTACAGTTTTCTTTTTGCTGATTCTGGTTCGATCGACCATTGTAGTTGATTTTAAACCAACACTACAGTGTTTACCATTGTTTGCACCAACTCCCCTATTTCCGCAGTGACTCGTACCTCCAAGTGACGCACTTGGCGTGTATATACGAAAGCCCGGCATTTGCAACGCTTGTCCCGCTATCCAGTCGGCAATTTTGTTGGAAGACAAACGCGCGCAAGTATGCACCTAGCTTTTGGGTGCGCGCATTCGCGCGCGAATCTATGCATTTCACTCTACCCATTGACGACGCTGATGGAAGACCAGTAAGAGAGTCATTTCCTCGAAAGATGGGCACAGAGGGACAACATAAGCCACTCGAACTGTGGAGACCATCGGTCACTCAGTTGTTTTG